CAAATCAATTTTGCAATATTTCAAATCTTAACTATCAAAATATTTCATACCACCTATATCAGACATATCCTTAAAGCATACTTATGGGAACAGTCTGTAATTAGTCCATTGTTCTTTTTTTCCCAGTGAACAATCGCCGAATAACCCTCGAATGTTCCAAAATTAGAGTTGTTCCAGGTTTTGGACGACCCCAACGACAACTATCTCTATATGGTTTTTGAATTTGTTGAACGAGGCAGCATATTGGATGTGCCAACGGATAAACCTTTAGATGAGGATAGCGCTTGGAAATATTTCAGGGATACCTTACGGGGATTGGAGTATCGTAAGTAGTTGCAAGTTCTTTCATTGATTTTTATTCCATTGCATAAAAACACTACTTCTTGTGAATACAATATAATTAATAGAATTGAAGCGAATAAGAGCTGTAAGCAAAATTTTAACCTGATTGTTTCTCGTTTTCTAATGTCTAAGCAGTCAAATTTCGCTTTTTAGATCATAGTTCTATATAACTGCTGTAGATTGAAAACTTACGTTAAACGTCGCTTGTAAAAGGCTACTCCTTTCCGCGACCATCTCTCCCATTCCACCCAGGCCCCCTTTCTTCCCCTCCCCTCCTTCTCCCTTCTTTTCCTATAATTTTGTGGTCATCTACATGTGCAAGTAAATCTTGTAAAAAAGATGGAAACTTGCATGACGACCGTAGAAGCGAGAGGAGGAGATGAAGAACTGAAAATTATTCTCCTTTTACTCTACACCTGCACTTCTTTCCTCTTTCGTAGAAGTCCTCTCTTGTTCTTTCCGTTAACTCATTTATGCCTTTAAGCCTTTCGTTAAACTTTTTTCCCAAAATTCCCCTTTTTGCAGTGTAGCATTAGAAAATCTTGATTATTCCCAAGACTTTGTTTTGCCCGTCTTAAAGGAAGCTATCAATCGCATTTCAGTGCATTATCAAAAAATCATTCACCGTGACATCAAGCCATCTAATCTGTTGTTGTCGGATGCTGGTCATGTGAAAGTAAGTTGGTTTGAAATCATTTTACTTTTTTATTCGAAATTTTACAAATTAGCCGTCCGAAAGATAGAATAAGTGAAATCTATAGTTGAAACATACTTGGCTTTTTTTAAAACTATCTGCAAATTTCCAGCATATACAAGTTTTCACAATGCGAGCAAGTGCATTGATGGAAAGAAATGGTCTTTTTGCTCGTTCGAGGAGAAACTTCTCAAAAATTTGTTGAGATTCAAAAATCTCCGCCTTTCGGTTTTCTGAAAATTCAACGAATCAGCCTTGAATTCTTTTTATTTTGTGGTGTTATTCTATATTAGTTAGTCTTAAATAGGTTGCATCAACACATGATTAGCTGAGTTTAGCTCTCAATTGAGTGGAGATCAAAGTAATTAAAGCTCAAATCTTACAGATAGCAGATTTTGGTGTGTCATGCGAATTTGAGGGAATTGATGCATTTCTGTCTGGTACTGCTGGAACTCCTGCATTTATGGCTCCTGAAGCGCTTACAGGTAATTGCTGCT